TCATTCCCTTTGTATTACCTGTGAGTGTCTCCTATATCACGTTTGAGTAAGCTGCAGCCACCCTTGTTTACTACCCATTTTTTATTAGGTCTTGGTTATTCAAGCTTCCAGGCTTTTATCCTGCATATCCATCAGGCTGCTTCTTTTCCGCATTCACTTATTATAATCCTACTTATCCTGCAGGGTTCAGCTGCTATGACACTTCCTTTGAGAAATATTCACTCTATTTTTATATAACATGTCCAAACTTTTTAAAATTACAACCTGAACCACATGCTAGTTTAGCAATATAAGTAAAAGTCGTTTTCCCCACTGGATTATGAGTTTCTTGTAGGAACCATATGGAAAATCTGAGAACTTCTTATCCCCACCTTGTTCACATCCTGTTCCCACTCTACCAATACCCTGTATGCTGTAAACACTTGATAAGGGTTAATTAGAACAGAAATTTGAGCACTCAATGCAACATGTATTGAGGATATACCTCAGTTCGTTGTCAGGAATCCAAGAGATGGATGACGTGATTGGTGACTCAGCGATATTAAGTCAAGACTTTTACAATTAGGAGACACACAAGTCACACTTGATAAAGTGGCAAATGCATTATAAAAGCAGATAAGTGTCACGTAGATAAGGAAGAGGAAAAATCAATTCATTGTAAAGGACCTAGGAAAATCCTCATGGAGGAAATCAGATCTGAGCTCAAGGATGAGTAGGATTTGGATGGAAAGAGAAGGTGTTTTAGGTGAGGGAAACATGAGCAAATTAACAGAAGCAGATGCACAGAGCAACAGTGAAGGACGTACATGGTCAAGTGCCCTGAGATGAGTGAAAAAAGCAAGTTGATAGATAAGATGCAGACAGACACATAGCATCTGGAATACCAAAATGAGAATGGATTTGGTTTGAAAACTGGTGAGGGACCATGACAAATTCTTGAGCAGATGAGTATCATGTTTTTTTCATTCATTCAGCAATTATTTGTTGGGCACAACAAAGTACCAGACACTGTTCAAGGTGTTGAAGATAAAGTAATGAACCTAACAAAGAAACCTCTTCCCTCTTAAGCCTATATGCTAATGGAGGGGGGGAAGTGACTGATTATAGACATCCTAACGAATATATAGTATATTGAAGAGTGATTAGTGTAACCAAGGGGACAAAAAACAGGGTAACAAAGATAAAGTCAGCTGGGGTGAAGTGGAAAGAAAGAAAATAACCTCAGTAACGCATATGTGGGACTAAATAATAATATCAAAGTTTCAGTGAGTGTTTTGAAAAATGTGGGCAAATTCAACTCACAGAGTGAAGAAGCTGATGACTTGGCTGAACCTACCACACTTTTTAATCTTCTCTCCAAATCCTACTCACCTTTCATGAACTATACTAATTCCTCCAGTAACAGATCACACCAACCTGAGACTCTTTTCTGCTTGTTGTATGTTTTATGCACAGAATAATGAACAGAATTGTAAAAATAAGGTCAGTTACATATGAATCAGCAAGATGATCATCAGATGACCTTAGTGTAGGTCATTTGCCCTATCCTCATTGTCTCACCAGTCATCTTTAATTAATTTCACATAGTTTGTATGTTTTGAGGACTGAATTTCCCCATAGAAATACACTGATGTCAGTGCAGAGAAGTCCCTTTAGGATTTGATGGAAAATTTTAACCTTGCATCGTAAGGGACATAATTATTGACACTGACATATTAGTGGTCTCTCAGATTTTTATTCTTTTAATCCCAAATGTTTCAGAGATAATATTTATAATCTGACATTTTATGAGACCAAACACCATAAAGCAGACAGTGAGGTGTTACCAAACTCTTCTGAGTGAATCCATGTAAGGGAAGCGTTCTAATTCATTGTTACTTTTAATATTAGCAGCCATAAATATTTATTTATCTGAATTGTTTAGCATGTATTCATTGTTCTTAGATTTCGATTTCTTAGTTATCTTTCTACCTCTTCTGAGAACTGAAGGCTATGAGAAACTTGGATGAGAAAATTTACTGCAATTCATGCTCATCTTTTCTGTTTTTAAGATAGATTTTCAAAATGTACAGGTATGAATGGAGAGTAATTCTGTTATGCAATTCAGGCATGTACATGACAGTTATCTCTAACTTAGCTAAATAATAAATGGTTTATATTTGATATTTGTAAACAAAGAAATAAAATTTTCAGCCAGTGCCTTTATTTTGATGTTTTGGTTACGGAAAAATAAGCCATTTTGACCATCAAATTTATATGATGAGACACACCAGTCAATATGTCCTAAAGGATCACTAAAAAATAAGAGAGGATAGCCTTTTGGAGGAAAAAAAAATTTGTTCTCAAAAATTACATTAAGGTTTAAAGGTTTTTCTCTTTTTCTAGTGTTAGAAAACTAAAGTATAAAGGCAAGCTTACTTCTATTTATTAGCTTTATCTGCTCTGATATCCTTCAAAAAATCTTCCATAATTTTCTCAGGAAATAGGAAAATATTATATGAGTAATTCAGACAAAAAAGATACCTAAATTTTTTGGATAAAATATGTTTTTAATTGAAATATATTTGGCATAGAATATTGTGCAAGTTTAAGGTATACAACACGTTGATTTGATATATTTGCATATGATAATGATTTCCATTGTAGCGTTAGCAGTCTATCACAACACATAATTATCATTTCTTTTTGTGGTGGGAATAACTATGATCTAATCTCGTAGCAAGTGTGATGACTATAATACAATATTGTCTATATTCACTATAGTGTGCTTTAGATCTCCAGGACTTATTTATCTACCAGTTGAAACGTTGGCTCCCTAAAATGCATCTCCCCTAATCCCTCACTGTCCAGCCTGTGGTAACCACCATTTTGCACTTTGTATTTAAGAGGTTGGCTTTTTTAGATCCCAGATGTAAGTGATCTCATACAGTATTTGTCTTTCTGTCTAGCTAATCTCAGCATAATATCTCAGGGTCCATCCATCTTGTTGCAAATGGTAGGATTTCCTTCTTTCACAATGCTGAATAATATTCCATTGCACATATATACCATATCACCTTTATGCATTCATTCATTGATGAGCACTTATGTTGTTTCCATATCTTGGCTATTGTGAATAATGCTGCAATGAATATGAGAATGCACATATCTCTTCAAAATCCTATTTTCATTTCCTCTGGGTATACATCCAGAAGTGGAAATGCCGGATCCTATGATAGTTCTATTTCTAATTTTTTGAGGAACCTCTATACTGTTTTCCATAATGGCTGAACCTATTTATATTCCCACCAACAGTGCACAAGGGTTCCATTTTTCTCCACATCCTCAACAACAATTGTTTTTGATGATCATAGCCATTCTAACAGAAGTGAGATGGTATCTCATTCTGGTTTTGATTTGCATTTCTCTCATGATTAGTGATGTTGGGCATCTTTTCATGTACGTATTGGCCATCTGTATGTCTTCTCTGGAAAAATGTCTATTCAGCTCCTCTGCCAATTTTTTAATTGGATTTTTTATACTTTTTCTATTAAGTTGTATGAGTTCCTTATATAGTTTGGATATTAACTCCTAATTTTTTTTAATGACGAGTTTTAAATAATTTTCTTTTTAGATTCTTCTTCAAAACTAATAGTCTCAATTTGCAGAAGCCAAAGAGGTTACTAAGGATCATTGGTAGGACACTGAAAACAAGTCTGCACATTCCAAGTCTTCAGGGTGGAGCTAGGACTGGAATCCATACTGCTTTTTCCCCATTGCATTTTACTCAGCATTTTTCCCTATTGCATTTCTTATAAGAGATATAAGTCAAAGCTAATCTCAAAAGGCCTACAATATAATAAGAAAATTGTTCATGCACATATGGGGGAAAAAGCAATGTAGATTAAACACAAGCAATTCTAGATTGTGTTGGGGATATAAGATATGCTTTATGGTTCAGCAAATAGAGACCACTGTGGTCTGGGGCATTTAGTTAAAACTTTATTAAGTAGCATTATATATAAACTATGCTTTACAGAAAGGAGAAAAGGATGTAGATATATTGGCAAAACTCAATAAGAATAACGGTGTGGGGCCGGCTCCGTGGCCCAGTGGTTAAGTTCGTGCGCTCCTCTGTTGCGGCCCAGGGTTTGGATCCTGGGCAGGGACATGGTACCGCTCGTCAGGCCACATTGAGGCGGCGTCCCACATCCCACAACTGGAAGGACCTGCAACTAAGATATACAACTATGTACGGGGTGGGTTGGGTAGATAAAGCAGAAAAAAAAAAAAAGATTGGCAACAGTTGTAAAAAGAAAAAAAAAATAACGGTGTGGACAGAGCCAGTGTTTATGGAAATGGGTGTGACACTGGGAAAAGAGATGAGAAGGGTGACAATCTATAGATATTCATTTCCTTAGCCATTCAAGATAATTTTCTTTAAAGATAAATAGTCCTCTCCTTAATCTTTAGTGATCGCCATGCAATTCCTAAGATACAAATTTAACATATCTGTTGTATGCAATTTCCAAACATTCACTCCACTTCAAGTACTAAAAACTTTGAGTGGAAAAATATACATATATTTGAAAATTTCATATTTAATATTCATATATATATGAGATTTGATTTTAACTTTATTGTAAGGATCTCTAATACAAAATCTAACACTGAAATTATTTTGAACCAAATTATTTTGAGCCAAACATGGGTACACTAGACGTGTACACTCCTTGCATAAATTCATAAAGACCAACCTTTTCCACTGTAAGCACCCTCCCTAGAATTGTCAAAATATCCTTTGAATCCTGAGTTTCAGAATCGAGGTCATTGAAGCCGACGTTTTAAGGGAATGAATGTACCCTAGAGGTTGTGTACCTGTCTCCCAGAGATAGTGGGGTAAGCTTGAAGAAAAAGCTCCTCTCCTTGTTAAAAAAAGAAAAATTTGAAGGGAATATTATGCACACTCTAATTTAGAATCTTTTAACTCCATGATTACTATCTCAACAGACAAAGTAGAGATGACTGAGGAAAATCACTCCTTGACAACTGAGTTTATCCTCACAGGATTTGCAGATCACCCAGAGCTGAAGACCCTTTTATTCCTGGTGTTCTTGGCCATCTATCTGATCACCATGGTGGGGAATCTTGGTTTGGTGGCACTGATTTTTAAGGAGCGGCGTCTTCACACACCGATGTACATCTTTCTGGGCAACCTGGCTCTGATGGATTCCTGTTGTTCCTGTGCCATTACCCCCAAGATGTTAGAGAACTTCTTTTCTGAGGACAGAATGATTTCCCTCAATGAATGCATGGCACAATTTTACTTTCTCTGCCTTGCAGAAACTGCAAATTGCTTTCTCCTGGCAGCAATGGCCTATGATCGCTATGTGGCCATATGCAGCCCACTGCAGTACCACACCATGATGTCGAGGAAACTCTGCATTCAGATGACCACAGGGGCCTACATCGCTGGAAACCTGCATTCCATGATCCATGTAGGGCTTCTGTTTAGGTTAACTTTCTGTGGGTCTCACCAAATCAATCACTTTTTCTGTGATGTTCTTCCATTATACAGACTTGCTTGTGTTGACCCTTATGTCAATGAATTGATGATATTTATCTTTTCAGGGTCATTTCAAGTCTTTACAATTACCATAGTCCTAATCTCTTATTTCTGTATCCTTTTCACAATTTTCAAAATGAAATCCAAAGAGGGAAGAGGCAAAGCCTTATCTACGTGTGCATCCCACTTTCTGTCTGTCTCAATATTCTATGGTTCTCTTCTTTCCATGTACATTCAACCAAATTCAGTTAAAGAAGGGGATAAAGATATACTCATTGCAATTTTTTACACAATAGTGATTCCTTTATTAAATCCTTTTATTTATAGTCTAAGAAATAAGGAAGTAATAAATGTTATGAAAAAAGTTATGAAGATAGCTTCATAACATATTGAAACAAACATCCCCAGTTGAATAATTGATTTTAATTTGATAAAACTTTTTTAAAATCAAAGAATACTGAGAAAGTTGAAAATGGTCACTTCATATAGAAAATAGTAAATTGCTGTAACATGATGGTGTATGAGTCAAATAAACAAATTCAGAAAGTTCTCCTAAAATGTGTTTCAAAAGCTAAGCTAGTAAGGTCTATCAGAGGTGAACTAGATAATAACTCCTGAGCTCCCAAATTGTTTCAGGGTATAATTAGTTACACTAGTAACTACTTGTTTCAGAGGATAATGAGTTACAATTTTCAACAAATCCAACAAATGCTAGGGATAGACTTCTGCATATACAGACTAGAAGGTAACCTCCTTTTAATTGTTGGCAAATATCTGGAATCACAAAACATAATCTCACGAACTCAGGCACATTCCAAGTTCTTAAATGTTGACCCCTTCTTAAATAACACCATGTGTTGGAAGTAAACTGTATATTTAAATTTATTTCTCAACTTTCTTTGGTTTTGTTCAAGAGATACTTTTTGAAATTTGATTCATGCACAATATGTATTCTGTAACCAAGAACACTTTCATCTTTAATGTTAGTCAATTACTCTCAATAAAGTTTCTGAAACAGAGTATCTGTACACTGCTGAATTATTAATCTGTAGTTGAAAATAACATTATTTATATTGAGATCCCTATGGATTTAAATATTTTAGTATAGTTTGATTAGTTGTTCATCATAAGTGATAGTGCAATCCTGAATATAGTAACACAATATAGGGTTTATTTCTGATATTATTACTTGTCTCATTTATTATTAGGAATACCGTCAATCTGCACTGATTCCAGTGTAAATTATTGATATTTTCATAGCATTAACAAAAATCTGGAGATGCTGCTCAAACATACATGAGGCAGAAACCAGTGAAAATTATAAATATCTAAACAAAAATATTTATTGATCACTTACACATGCAAATATGGAATAAAAAATAATTTACTGAGAACCTACCATCTGCTAGGCACTAGCTAGACCTTTCATACATATTACTTACCAATTGTTAGATAGGATTTTTCATGCTTTTCCTCAGTAAAAATCTCATACTTTGAAATATTGAGCAGCTTGCCCAAGTTCACCCAGCTTATCCAGATTGAGCTAGAATTTGAATTAACATGGCTTTTTACCCACATTCTTGGTAGTTCAGAAAATGGACATCCTTGTAGCCTGGGGTACTTAGTTCTGAAGTAGCACCAGAAGTAGACTGCGCCTTAAAAAGTTTGGAAAAATTAATATTTGAGGAAAACAGGAAAAAGTATCACCAGAGTCAATGTTTCTGAAATTAGTGTGGCATTGGGAACGGGGGTGAGCCATGGGGCAGCATCAGAAAGCTCACAGAACCATTGGTGAGCTGTTGGTGAGTGTGGGAAACAAGGGAGGAAGTGGATCAGGTTATTGAGAATCTTAAATGCCACCCTCAGGAATCTGACTTTAGCCTCGAGGCATCGGACACTGAAGTCTTCCTGGACCCGAGTAATATGATTATATCTTTCAGAACTCTGATCTTGCTATTAATTGGAAAGAGGCTGGAAGCAAGGAGACTAACTTCAACAATCCACGTATTAGATGATGGGAGGTGAAACTGGATAATACGTTAAAAATAAAGGAGTGCACAGATATAAGCAACATTTTTTTAAAAAAGTAAATTGTAACTCTTGGATAATAAAACAAAGGCCTATCTTCTTCTTGTATCGCTCATGTTATAAGTGATTTAATATCACCGATACTTAATAAGGTGCTTGACACATTTGGTCATTTAGTAAAGATTTCCTTCAATATGTTTTTAACACAATCATTTAAATTAATATGTAATAAGTTTATTCTTTTTATTTTTGAATGAATGAATAAATAAATAATTTTTAATTTATCAGTTTTAAATTCTAATATTGTAAATACTGATATAACCCACAGAAACAAAGCCCTTTAGGGTCCTAACATATTTTGTGACTGTAAAGGAATCCAGATACTAAGAATTTTGAGAAGCTCTGAATTAGATGGATGCTGTGCCTCTGTGTCCACCCTCTACTTTAGTGGATACTTTCAGCTGTCTGACTTGCACGCTTTGATTCCCTTTCCCTTTTCTTAGGGGATCACAGTTCTTGGTATACATTACTGTACCACCCAGCCCCAACTCTTAGCAACACTGAATCCCACAGGTCTGTTGAGGGAAAAATATATGACTTATTTGGAGCCAGTGAGACAAAAGAGATGATTTTCTGGAAGTTTTGGGGAAATATGCTTCCTTTATTTCAAAAGAGATGCATCAAAAGGGTAGTGCTTCTCCCTCCGAGTGTCATGGGATGTGGATATGAAATCTGCCACAGTCTATACCCATTCTGCCTTCTGGAGAGAACGCAGCCTGGAGATGAAATCAGCACACAGGTGAGCACAGCTGAGGGATCACAGAGGAACAGACCCAGAGTCTCTGGGATAAACCATCCTTTCCGGTTGTGTAATCCAACAGATCTTCTCACTGTTTATACTTGTTTGGAAAAGATGGTTTCTTTGCAACTGAATAAGTATTAACTGACAACTTCATGTCTCCTTGACTAATCTCTCATTTTATATTCTATTTTAAATTAATCCGCATTCTTTCACCTTACAAATACTCTTCAGCAGTGTCCATTTAACTATTCAGCGTATCTATTGCCTTTTAATTTCACTCCTCTATTTTTATTTCCTGTAACCTCACTAAAAAAAAGATGAGGGAGAGGAGGGTTCATAATTTGTCCACAGAAATACTAGGGTGGAGCTCAGGGACCAAACACAGACCATCTGGCTCTGCCTCTGGGTTTCCTTTGATCGATCAGAGTGCCAGGGCACGTGAATGCGTGGCAAACACCAGAGGAGAGGGAGCCAGAACTGGAAAGCAATGTCATTATTTTCTGAGTGAACACTGCTTGTCAGCTTCCCTGTTAATCCTTAAAGGCAAATCTGAACATGTTACCACCATGTTCAAAACCTCTCAATAGTTTTCCTTTAATTTGGGGTAAAGAATAAAAGTGCTGACTTAGCCTCCAGACCGCAAGTAGTCCCACCCAGGCTGGCCTCCCTGGCCCCATCCAGCTCCTGCTTCTCTCTTGGCATGCCAGCTCCATTGACCATGTTGAGCTTCTCCAGGGATCTAGCTCTCTGATAATCTAGGTCCTCCAATAAAGAAGGCCCTGTGGATGGCAGGTGTCCACAGGCATCACCTTGTTAGAAATGAAGACTCTCTGATGCCACCCAGACCTCTGAGACAGAATCTGCATTTTAACAAGATCTCCAGGAGATCCACAGGCATTAAAGCTTGGGAAGCTCTGGTCTAGACCTCCTCCCACCGTGCTCCTTTGCTCCTCCCCTGACCTTTGTCTAGTAAGATTTGTCATCAGATTTCAGTTTATAGTGGGGAGTTATGCCCAGGGCTGGATGTGAGCTGCAGTTTGCATGAGGAGGACAACTTTCTTGTGGCTGGCTCCTGAAGGGAATCTAGAACCCTGGCCTCATTAAAATCTTGAATGATCAGCTCAGAAAAGATCACACAAATCAAAGCACTCAGAGCATCAAAATTTATAGATAAATTGGAATTTGCATAAACATGTTAGAAGTGTCATGTGCAGTAGAAAATAGTGGCATAAAGCACAATTTCAATCATTAAAACTGGCACTGTCTACAATGAGTTGCTGTTTATGATTTCAGAGTCTGTAACGCCCTGTGGGTCAGCCTGGACTTCTCACACATGTCCAAGCCTACAATGCCCAGAAGAACAGCTTAGCTTTGTCCTTAAGGGGATCTTAGGTGCAGTCAGAGGAATTTTAGCTCTTCACACCTTCTTCTTCTGGGAACGTCACATGGTTTTACAATCAGTTGACTCATGTTCAAAGCCTATTAGTATAAACCACATTTTCCTGAGTTTGGGAAAAGAAGCCTCCAAAATCACTCAGTGTGCAAAGAGTCACTACCTGTGTTATTATCCTTTCTGTGCTATTGTATGTTTTTCTGCTTTAAAAAACCTAGCGTGTTGAAATGATCTCCACAATTTCTTATACAGTATGGGAAAAAGAGAGATGAATTCTATAACATTCATTATTCCTTATGTAAAATAATCAAAACACTAGATAACATAATAAAATTAGATTGATTTACAAGGTGTCATAAAAGGCAGGTGAAAAATGTAGAACAGTTAGTGCATCATCTGTATACCTTCGTTTTGTGACGAAATCTGAAGAAGCAAAAGATCTGTAAGACTGAATTATTGCCCTTAATTTACTGCCTTTATAATAAAACTGTAATGACTTTATATGATAAGTTTTGGAGAAGTAGACTGTTAAACAATTTAAACTGGATTTAAAAATCAGGTCATGTTTCTTGCCTAAGAAATCTTTCTGGTGATTCTGAATAAGAGATCCATTCTTTCTAATTAATCACGTTCTCTGATTAAAGTTTTAAGGTAAATCACTTACATATTAACTCCTCTATCTATTCAATCAATTCTGACAAAAGTTTCATTGAGTATTTTAAATACATATATAGAAGGAAATAGGCAAAAAAAAAAAAAAAAAAAAGCCCCTCCAGTGCTCTTATCAGCTTTATGACTTAATAAGTACCCACACATTGAATTTGAGTATTTCTGATTATTTACTGATTTGGGATTACGTGGATGGAAGCCCATTCTAAATAAAATTACATTTAACAACTGAAATTATTGCATTCATTATTTATATCACATTAATTAGCATTCAGTCTTTGGCTCAAATTTATTTTACTAAAATACTGGTGGAGAGGAAAGTGCTCTCAAGTAAAACCAGTAGGATTTCCAGAGAAAGACAATTCTAATGACAGTAAGAACACAGATAAAGCAACTTTTAAATTTGGTGAGGACTTCCAGGCAGTACCAGTATATTTATGAAGGGTACAAAGTTTCTAAGGTAAAATTTAAAATGAAAATCTCTTTTATATAC